GCTGTTAGTCAGGGACTTCCTATAGGTCAGTGTTTCTCAACCTTGACCATTTTAAGGCATGTGGACTTCAACTCCCAGAATTCCACAGCCAGCATTGCTGGCTGTGGAATTCTGGGAGTTGAAGTCCACATGCCTTAAAATGGTCAAGGTTGAGAAACACTGCTATAGCTGATTCCTCCAATTCATGTCTTTTATTTTTCCCTTTCTTCTCTCCTTTCAGCCCTGGAGAATTGGAGTGGATCTTGATTTAAACCATGATTTGTTCTGTGCTGTGTAATTGGCTGAGTTGGTGCTCCTGCTTGGCTTGATGCAGACGTCTAGCCAAAGCAGGAGCAGAAGTTAGTTTTTCTGGAGAAAGTAGACTTAGGACTTGTAGTATATACTCCTGCAATGGAGGGTAGATTAATTTAGGAAGCTTCCCTGCCCTGTATTTGAAAAGCTGAGATCTGTTATGCAGTAGAGCAGGGGTAGGCAACCTTGGCTCTTTTATGACTCGTGGACTTCAACTCCCAGAATTCCTGAGCCAGCATAGGGGAACTATGGCCCCCTCATGACTCGTGGACTTCAACTCCCAGAATTCCTGAGCCAGATCTATGGTCATGATGCAGTAGAGCAGGGGTAGGCAACCTTGGCTCTTTTATGACTCGTGGACTTCAACTCCCAGAATTCCTGAGCCAGCATAGGGGAACTATGGCCCCCTCATGACTCGTGGACTTCAACTCCCAGAATTCCTGAGCCAGCTTGAGGGAACTATGGCCCCCTCATGACCCGTGGACTCCAACTCCCAGAATTCCTGAGCCAGCCTGGCTCAGCTTGGAAACCTCTCCCTTTCTCCTCATCATGGCTGGTTCAGGAATTCTGGGAGTTGAAGTCCACGAGTCATAAAAGAGCCAAGGTTGTCTACCCCTGGTGTAGGAGGCTCACCGCTTAGAACAGGACGACTTAGAACAGGAGTAGGCCACCGTGGCTCTTTTATGACTGGTGGACTTCAACTCCCAGAATTCCTGAGCCAGCATGGCTTACCTTGGAAACCTCTCCCTTTCCCCTCAGCATGGCTGGCTCAGGAATTCGGGGAGTTGAAGTCCACCAGTCATAAAAGAGCCAAGGTTGCCTATCCCTGCAATAGAGTATTATATGTTGAGTCTCTTTGTTAAAGGTTACTGTCCATGGTAGAAGAAGCTGCAGGATGCAACTTCCGTTCAGCCCGTGCTTAGGACTAACCATCATTTTGCAAGGAATCGGTGGTGGCTGTTGCCCAGGAAGAGGAGGATTGTGGGTAGAGGCCAAATTGCGTGTGCTGTTACACCAGTTTTCCAGAAAATATATACTGTGGTTTTGCTTGATATTTGATAAATGTAGCTGCGAGGCATCCTTGGTACTCTCTGAACTGGGTTGTTTTCTTACAGACGTTTCGTGACCCAATTAGGTAACATCATCAGTGCTAGAAGGGAGGGGGGTTGTGGAGAGGAGGAGGAGGAGGAGAAAGGAAGGGAAGACGGAATGAATGGGGGGAGGGGAGGACTCTGGGGTCCTTAGTGCTCTCTGAGCTTGGTTGTTTTCTTGCAGACGTTTCGTGACCCAATTAGGTAACATCATCAGTGCTGTTGATGTAACCGCTTTTGCTACAGGCCCTGCATTGTTGAGCATAATATGTAGGGATGTCTGTAGAGAGAGAAAAAAAACACAGGGATAAGTAGGAATGAAAGCATGGAATTGTTTGAAAAGAGTTGGTGTAACCACGCTGGGTTGCAGTTGAGTTTAAGAAAGTAAAGGGATGGGACTGCTACCAATAAAAAGCACTCTGGAAGAATGGAAAAAACTTGATGGGGAGTGTAGAACGTCGGAATAGATTAAGGAAACGAAGGAGGTGATGGAGAGTATGCGTTTGAAACTAATTTAAAAAACATACATTACGCAAAATGCAGAAAAACAGTAAGCCAAAGGAATTGAGGGCACGAAATTAGAAATTGGTTTTTGAGATATTAATTTCAAATCTATGCCCCTCGTTGCATTGTAGAGTGTATACCCAGCACCCATTCCAAAATGTCTACATTCTCAGCCAATGAAACAGCCCTGACTTCATACAAATATTCAGGTTCTCCATCAACATCACCGCTAATGCTATCTTGTTATATATTTATATTTCTGTATTCATTTATCCATCAGTGCATACAACCTCAACTTTTTGCTTTGACATAAAATATATTAGCCATTTCTAAAAGGAAGGAAGGAAAAAAGGAAGGAAGGAAAGAAGAAAGGAAGGAAGGGAGAGAGAGAGAAAGAAAGAGAGAGAAAGAGAAAGAAAGAAAGAAAAAGAGTTTTTGAATAGCTGCTTGTGAAAAGCCCCCTTCCACCAGCTCCCAAATATTTCATTGTGAATGATGTTGAAGCTGATGACATTATAACTAGAATACTTAAAAAAAAACATGTTTAAGCCCTTGGCAATTACATTTCTTGCTGTTTCCTCTAAGAAAGGCATCAGCCAGATGTGCTTCGGATTGACATTCATGTGACATAGTTTAATGTCCTGCAAAGGATAAGATTCTCTCCCTCCCCCCCCCCCCACACACACAAGGCAGAAGACCCAGCTGTGCAGTTTAAGCTCTGGAGGTGAAATAACCAGCAGCAGAATTGCGCCTGTCCAGATGACAGGCTGAGCGTTTGTGGCAATAAATACCAAAGAAGCAGCCTTGAAATGTTTTGACTGCTTTCCATCTTTTCCTTCCTGAATTCATGAAACATGGGAAAATTTGCAGAGGGTTGTTGAAAAAAAAACCTGATGACCTTTTGCAGTAAATGTGGCAAGGAACACAAACAACCCGTTTCTATTGTGACAGGGAAAAAAATATAAAGGTTGGGTCAGTTTCTGTAGGAAAAAGGGGAAGTGACAGCCAAGAAGTTTGTTTTCTTGTGGGTTTCTCCTAACTCTGCACTGTGTCATAGCTGCACGGCTAAAAAAAAACAAACAAACACAAATGTTAAAAGCCAACTCAGAGCAAGAATTGATGTGAGTTTCGACGCCTAATGCCCCACTTTAGAACTTCGTGTCCTGACCAATTCCACCTTGGAATTGGTCCAGGAGATTTTCCTGCACGGGAACCTTCGTTCTTAAGATGTTTTGAATGATCCTGGCATTAAACCAAGGATGGAATGAAACAGTTTGCAACTGTAGCACTGCATTTGTGAACGTTTTTTGAACATTTGAAGTGTGTTTGCTGTTTTCTTAGGGAAATTTTGCTCTTTTTATAGCACAAGCTGGCCTGAGCTAAGGAAATAATACCTTGATGACTAGATAAAACGGGCATTTTCATTTTGAAGGGAGAGATTTAAAAAAAAAAGGTTTTTGGGAACAAAGAGAGGGAAATCAGATCAGTTCAGGTAGTCCTCAACTTAACGACTGCAATTCAACCCCAAATTTCCATTGCTAAGTGTTTTGCCTCCTCTTACGACCTCCCTTTCCACTGTCGTTAAACAAATCACTGCAGTTGTTAGTCACACGGTTTTCCCCATTGACTTTGCTTGTCACCTGACCCAGGGACGCTGCAACCGTCATAAATACGAGTCAGTGGCCAAGCCTCTGAATTTTGATCACGTGATCCACGGGGAGGCTGCGACGGTCATAAACGTGAAAAAGAGCCTTGGAAAAAAGTGACTTGCAACTGTTTTCACCCTTGGTGGTCATGTGACCAACATCTGGTTGCTTGGGACACCGTTTTTGTGCACCTCTGATGAGCAAAGTCAGCGCGGGGGGGGGGAACCAAAAATTCACTCAAACATCTCCCCAACTGCAGCGAACCGCTTAGCAAGACTGTCGTAAAACGGGGCCAAACCTGCTCAACCACTGCTTTGCTTAGCAACGGAAAATGTTAGGCTCAGTTGTGGTTGCACGTCGAGAACTACACCTGTAGTAGCAAGCCAAGCCCTGAAAGAGCCCCCCCCCCCGCCTTTCCAGAAGACCACCCCAGGCTGCGTTCGGGGGGGGGGAGGAGGGAGGAAGGCGCGGCTGCTTTTCTGCCTTTCCTCCAGCGGCCATTAGAGGGCGCCCTCGGAGCGGCTAAGCAGCGGTTAGTGCATTGCAGCCTGCAAGCCGGGGGGGGGGGGAAGAGAAGAAAGACCCCCTTCCCCATTTCCTCCCAGCCCCCGCCAAGCTCCTGCGCGTCCTTTCGCTTTCTTTTGCACGGCCGAAGAAATCCCTCCCGCTCCTGCCTTGCACGGAGTTGAAAGGGGTGGGAGGGGGCTAGTTTGGAAGACGCCCCCTCCTGCGACCAGGGAGGGGGCAACCCTCCCTCCCCCCTCCCTCCTTTCCCCTTCCTGCCTGCCTTGAAGGTTTGAATTTTTTAAAAAAAGAAATTGGGGTAGAAGCCCGAAGACTTCTTCCTTACTCTCGTTTATGACTGGGATCCCTTTCGCGCGGCGCGCTCTCCCGCCAAGGGGAGGGGGAGGCGCGGCGCGGCGAGGGGCGGGTCCAGGGCGAGGGGCGGGTCCGAGGCCCGAGCGGCCAATCAGCAGCCGCGCCTGCCTGGCCAAGGCATCGGGCGAGCAGGCGAGAGGCCCCGCCAGGCTCCGGGCGGCCGGGGAAGCGGCGGGCGGGCGAGCGAGCGGGCGGGCGGCCGCTTTGGCGCAGCGTCGGCGCGCTCCCTGTTTCCCCCGCGGGGCTCGCCATCCCGGCCGCCGCCGCTGCTGCAGCCGGCCGGCCGGGGGCGATGGATCTCGGCGTCTACCAGCTGCGGCACTTCTCCATCTCCTGCCTCTCCTCCCTGCTGGGCACCGACAGCGCCGCGCTCAGCCTCGACAGTAGGTAAAGGCAGCCGCGGCCCCCCCCCCCAAGCCAGCCAGCCGGGCTCCAAGGCTCCGGGACCCCCGCCCGGCTGGAAGCCGCCTGACAGCTCAGCCGGCCGGAGCCGAGGCGGAGGAGGGGGGATTCCCGACGCACCTCGGCCGCTGCTAACCCGGGCTTCTCCTCCTCCTCCTCTCCCCCCTTCCCCGTTTGTGTCTTGCAGCTCCTCCGGGGCCAGCGTGGTCGCCATCGACAACAAAATCGAGCAAGCCATGGTAGGTCGGGGGGGGGGCCGGGGAGGATGGGTGGTTGGGGAGGATGGGTGACTGGGGAGGGGTTCGTCGACGGGAAGCGGTAGGTCCGGGTGTCAGCCTCCCTCCCTCCCTCCCAGGCGCTGCAGAGCCGGCGCTGCGCGCCCTCCCCCCTTCCCGGAGGAGGAGATGGGCCGGGATCGCTTCGTCTGGGAGGGGGGGCCGCCGGGGAGGGGGGGGACCGCGCGTCCTCTTGGCATCAGCCCCCCCAAGCAGCCCCCCAAATCACCAGGGCCCCAAAACACCAGCCCCCCCAAGTACCAGCCCCCCAAGCATCAACCCCCCAAAGCATCACCCCCCAAAAGCACCAGCCTCCCCAAAGCACCATCCCCCCAAAGCACCATCCCCCCAAAGATCACCCCCTCCAAAGCATCAGCCCCTCCAAAGCACCCCCCCCAAAGCACCAGCCCCCCAAAGCATCACCCCCCCAAAGCAGGTGAGGGTCAGCGGCAAGGATCATGGTGCTGGGGGAAGCGGAGAAAAAGAGCCTTTAATTCTGGGGGGGAACGAAAAGGAGGAGGAGGAGGGCGCCCTTGCGATCTGCAGATTGATTGATTGACCCCCCCCTCCATTTATTTTGTTTATTATTTTGCTCCCCCTCCCCGTCTCTAAATTGCGCTTTGGGCTTTTGTTGCCGGTGAATGCTGCAAGGAGCCCCCCTCTCCCAGGATCTTCCTCCTCCTCCTCCCCCCCCCTTTCTCCTCCGCCTCTGTTGCTAGGCAAAGTTGAAGTATAACCCCCGGCTATAAATAGGGCGGCCCCGCTGATTGGCCGAAGGATCAGCTAGGGAGGCGGTCTTCCTCGCCCCGGCTGACGTCAGAAGGGATGGGGGGGGAAATGCGGCAAGCAACCTTTATCTTCCCCCCCCCCTTTCCTTCCTTCCAGACAGAATGAGCTGCAGCCCATGGGGGGGCGTGGGGTGCCCTGGTCCTGGAGGGGAGGGGCAGATAAGTGATCTGGACCCAGAGCCCCCTCTCCCCAAAGACTAGGAAAGGCTCCCCCCCCCAGCCCGCCAAAGCCCGCTCCGCCACCATCATCATAAAGCCCGAGCATCATCCTTGATGCTCTTAGCCCGGAGGAAAAAGCAGTGATGCAACACCGGAGCGTTTCAGGCGCTTTGTCTTAATTTGTCTGATCCCAAATTAAGGCTGGATCTTCCCAGTCAGCTGGACGCTCCAGAAGAAAAGGCCCCAAAGACATTCACCATCCGGGTTAGAATCGCTCTCTTTCCTCCATTGTTCTCAATCCGGGACATCCCTCTCGCGCCCCCCCCCCTTCAGGGCTGAACAATTTTGCCTCGATAGTCCCACTGCCTAACAGGATCCCCGTTCTGGGAATCCGTCTTAATTCCCTTGAAACTGGAGTGACATTGAGGTCCGCAAGAGGAACGAATCCCCTCCCGTCCCGCCAATTCTGCGGGGGGGGGGGAGTCACTCTCCCGATCCAGGATCCCTTTTGCTTCAAACTCAGAAGACGGAAGAAAAGGGAAGCCCTCCCTAGCGAAGTCCTTGTCAGGATAGCATTGCCTTAACCTTGAGCAGAAGGGAAATTCAGAACTTAGAACTGAACCCAACGGGCCTTGAGGATTTGTGTTGTGTTGCAAGCCCAAATTCACTGGTTGGGATCCCTTAAATGGGTAACAGCCTGGGGGTGTTACTTGTTAAGTTGGATACGTGAAGGATAATCCCAGGATATGTCATCTTCCGGCAAGGGCTGCAGTTGGTATTCTCTGATCCAGTCAGTTGCCCGGAGTTTTTGCAAATGAAAAGGTTTTAAAATAAGAATTTGAGGGGGGAAACGTTAAAATGAGAATTCGCTGTTGGGCCTAAGATGAAGGGGTTACAAAAAATCCTTTATCTGGGTCCAAATCTGGGGTATATGATGTCTGGAGATTCTCAGGCATCCAGGTCTGGGTTTGCGATGTTTTTCCATGTATTTTAATTGCAAGCAGCTTCAGGCTGCTTATGTGTCAACACCAATAAGGGGGGATATTTGCAGCTCAGGGTTGACATGACTGGGATCCTTAGTGCTCTCTGAGCTTGGGGGTTTTCTTGAAGACGTTTCATGACCCAACTAGGTAACATCATGAGTGCTAGGAGGGAGGGGGATTTATGGAGAGGTGGAGGAGGACTGTGGGGTCCTTGGTGCTCTCTGAGTTGGGTGGTTTCCTTGTAGATGTTTCAGGCCCCATCTAGGGAACCTCACCAGTGCCTAAGCTAACCCATCATCAGTGCACTGATGATGCTACCTAGTTGGGTCATGAAACGTCTACAGCAGTGGGTCGGGACCCCATTTGGGGTCGAACGACCATTTCACGGGGGTCGCCAAACAACGCAGGGTCGCCATTTTTTTCCCCTTTTCCTTAGCTGTGCTACTCCCTTTTATTCTATTGGCTTTTGAAAGCCAATAGAATAGACTCTCTTGAATAGAGTCTAATTCTATTTGCTTTCAAAAGCCAATAGGAATTGTCCAGGCTGTCTCTGCCCCTGCTGAGCCCGCCAAAAGTCCCATTCTGCAAACGGTGCTGCACCAGTTGAGTAGTCCTCGACTTACGACCGGTTGAGTAGTCCTCGACTTACGACCGGTTGGGGGGTCGCGGCATTAAAAAGGTTGAGAATTACTGGTCTACAAGAAAACCACCAAGTTCTGAGAGCACCAGGGACCCTTCATTTGTGTAGAGCAGGGGTCTTCCAACTTGTCCCTTTCATGACTTGTGGACTTCAACTCCCAGAATTCCTCAGGCAGACAGAGGAATTCTGGGAGTTGAAGTCCACAAATCATCAAAGGGCCAAGTTTGAAGACCCCTGCTTGTGAAGTTCAACTCCCAGAATTCTTCAGTCTGGCACGCTGGCTGAGGAATTCTGGGAGTTGAAATCCACAAGCCATCAAAGGGTCATAGTTCACTCATGCTGGCTGAGGAATTCTGGGAGTTGAAGTCCACAAGTCAAAAACAAGTCACAGTTCCCTCACGCTGGCTTTCTGGGAGTTGGAAGTCCACAAGTCCTAAAAGGGCCAAGTTTGAAGACCCCTGCTTGTGAACTTCAACTCCCAGAATTCCTCAGCCAGGCATGCTGGCTGAGGAATCCTGGGAGTTGAAGTCCACCAGTCCTAAAAGGGTCATAGTTCCCTCACGCTGGCTGAGGAATTCTGGGAGTTGAAGTCCACAAGTCATCAAAGGACCAAGTTTGGAGACCCCTGGTGTGGAGAGAGGTAGAATGGGTCAATCTCAAGGAGGCTGGCATTCAGCAGAGGGACCCTTTGGGTGAAGACCATCTCCATTCTTGACAGGCCTTCCGGCAAATTGTTGCAAGCATCTCTGCCGTTGGTGCAACTCTTTTTTGGGGGGGCTTCTCCTTCTCTTTTCCAGGATCTGGTGAAGAGCCACCTGATGTATGCCGTGCGCGAGGAAGTCGAGGTGCTGAAAGAGCAGATCAAAGAACTCATTGAGAAGAACAACCAGCTGGAACAGGAGAACAACTTGTTGAAAACCTTGGCCAGTCCAGAACAGCTGGCTCAGTTCCAGGCACAATTACCAGCCAGTCCTTCTCCGGCGGCGTCTTCGCAAACGCAAGGGACGAATCTACAGCCTTCCCAGGCGGCACCTCCAAGCTCCGGACCCTCGGCGTAGTAGTCCAGCACCAGACCTCAGATTTCGGCACTCTGGACTCTCCACTGAGGCTGGACTGCAGGAATGCAGCAGTCTCTGCATGCTGATCCCCCAACTTACCCCCGTTATGAAGACTCTTCTGCAGTATTAAGCTGTTCAGGGCCAGCAGCAGGAGAGGGTTGAAATGTTTCTTTTAGGTTATTATTATTATTTTTTTTTTAAAAAAAATTGGGGGTGGGAGGGTTGGGGTCTTGCCACCGTTCAGGGAATTAGCACAAATGCACTGGGCGTCTTCTGCAGCGGCTGCTTAAAAAAAAAAACAAAAAACGTACGAGTTTTCGTGTGCCTGAAGCTTATTTTTTTTTTCCCCCTCTTAACAATCTTCCTTCCGTGTAGTGCTGTGATGAATGCAAGCGCTTTTGGGCCTGGAAATGTGAAGGCATTGGCTGGGGTAGCGGGGATGAAGCCCCCTTCTCTAGCTCTCTATCCAGAAGCCAAAGGAATAAGACAGGGGAAGAAATATGGGGAAACTGAGGGACAGTAAAAGGGGGATGGGGCGTTTGGTGCCTGCAGTCTTAAAAAAACAAACAAAAAAAAGCAGATGTGCACTCATAAGGATGGTGCAAAAAAAAAAAAAATCGCCTATTTTCTAGGAGAGGAACCGGTAAGTTAAAAAAAAAATAAAAATGCTGTGACATGGGATGGTCGGATGAAGGTTTGTTCGCTTAATGTATATTTGTGTATTTAGTGTATAATTACTTTGTAAAATAGGAACTGTAACTAGTCCATTCAGCTGTACAGAGTGAATTTAAAAGAATGAACTGAACCAGTTTGAAGAAGCGATTTTTTTTTTTGGCTTTGTTTTTTTTTTTTAAAAAAAGAAAAAAGTTTTATTTTTTTGTTTTATTTTTGGGACACTACATGGATTCAATTTTGCACCTCTACGAGCTCTCCGGAAATCAGCTGGTGCTGTTTTATGTCGGTTCTAAAAGTTGCCTTGGAAAATGAATATATTGACGTCAAACGCTGTCCTTTGCTGTTCCAGTGGATGCGGGAAGCCGGGGGGGGGGCGTGGGGGGGCAGGGATGAATTCACCAAAGCAAAATCTTAATTTAATTCCTCACATTTTGGATGGGGCATACGATCTGTGTAATAGGATGCATATGTTCTTGTGCATGTTCTAGGTGATTCATTGGGAGGAAAATGGTAAAAGTACCAGTATATTTAACGATTGCACTTGTCAACTTCTAATAAAGCATACCATGTTGATATAGAAACCGTGATTTGAGGGATACTCTTGCCTTCCATGAGGTCAGCCAAAAACTAGATACAACCAGGCCTTTTGGGTTTGCAAAACCTTTTTTTTTTTTTTAAATGGCTAGAGAGTGTTTCAACAGCAAAATATTAAAATTGGGTTCCTACCGCAAAATGACTTCTGCAAAAGAAATTCGAACTGGTGGTTTCCAACAGAGGGGAAAATGGAAATCTGGCTAACTTGATGCTTTGACATGGGGTAGAAAAGGCAATTTGGTCCATCGAAAGAGGTGCTGCACAACTAAAGGGGTGATCATTGTTAACAACAACCAGCCCTTTTAGCTAAATCTGGCTGACGTTTACGTCATAGCATTCCGAACGCCTCGCTCTTCGGGCTGCCATTAAATGGGTCGGACTTCAGGTAACGCTGAGCGTTCTTCGAAATGCTTTGCATGGGTTACTGTTTGAATTATCCTTCATTAATCCTGCAAGATGGGGTACCAGCGACTCTCTTATTTTGCATCCCAGAGAAATTAAGAGATGGGATTGCAGGGGTCTTGCAGAGACTTGTTTACACAGAGAAAAACAATATGGCTGGGCCGCTAACAAGTTTTGCAAGCCAGCAATTGCAGATGTAGACCTGAGAATTTGGTCTGGAATTTAAAAAAGGGAATCCTGGCTTTGTTTTTAAAGTTCACTTGGCTGGTGGCTTTCTTCCACACCCTTCCCAGCAGAGAAAAGAACACGAAATTTAGCTAACTAGATTAGGGATGATTCAGGCCCAACCTACAGAGGCTCAAGTTGTTTTCCTTGTCACTAAACAAACTCGTGACTCCCGGTGATGTGCAAACTTCCTTCTCTCTGAATTGCAACTCCAAATTGTTTACCAGATGTTCCAGGCTCTCTTTCTCAGAAATGCAGCTGACCTCTGTTTGCTTTCACCGTTTCTCCCTCTGAAAATCTTGAGCCGCTCACCTTGCTGGTCTGTGTGCAATAGGAAATGGTCAGTGTGTAGTATTGTGGAGAAATGGTACAGGACCCCTCACAAATCACAAATGGCTTTAGGGACATCAGGAATTACAGGATTTACAGTTGTGGGAAGGACTTAGAACACAGAACATCAGAGCTGGAAGGGACCTTGGAGGTCATCTAGTCCAACCCCCTGCTCAGGCAGGAAACTATGCCATTTCGAACAAATGGCTGTCCAGTCTCTTCTTAAAAACCTCCAGTGTTGGAGCACCCACAACTTCTGGAGGGAAGCTGTTCCCCTGGTTGGTTGATCTCACTGTCAGGAAATTTCTTAGTTCTACCTGTGTCTTCCATAAGATGAGACTTGTGTCTCTATGAGATGACTGTCCAGTCATTTGTGTGTGCCTTCCAAGTTCATGTTGACTCCTGGAAACAATCTTTTCAGTAAGTGAAAACTGGATTTCCAAAGTGGTTTGCCGTTGTATCCTTCCTAGGGCTGAGAGAGAGTGACTACTAGCCCAAGGCCACCCAACTGGGTGACGTCGTCAAAGAAAAACAAGAAAGTCCAGTTGCCTCGTGAAAAAGCATTCTTGGGACGAACGCAGGATTAGAACTCAAGAGCCTCCATTTTTTGGCCAGTGTCTTAATAATTACCATATCTGTCTCTTAGTCCAGTTGACTCTCTGGGTTTTGGGTCCCACTGTCCAACTGCTTCTACTGCTTAGAAATATAATTTTGACAAAACTCCGCATTGTCTCCTTGTACCTTAAGCCAACCACTGAAGATAATTAACTGCAATCTTGATTATCTTCGGTGGAGCTTCCTTTGAGGCATTTGAACAGTGATCAGTTGATTTTTCTGTCTGTTAAATTTATCCTGCTCCTTCCATAGTTCTTCATAAACGTGCTAGTCTCAAACCACACACGTCGAAAGGGGGGGGGAAGGCAATTTGCAGGGATGTGGGACAGAGCCAGCTGAAATTAAAATGTTTCCTGTGTAAAGACTTAACTCTGGTAATTACAGCAATTTTAGTTTTTTTTCCCTCCCTCGATCACTCTTTTTTTTTTTCCCTTTTCCAATCGTATTTCAGATACATACAGTTTCCTAATTATGTCTTGCTCCAGTGTGACTGAAGCCAAGACTAACATTTATTTATGCTTCATCTTCTTCAACAGTGACATTAAATTTTATATTTGCACTTTTTTTTAAGGCCGATCAATAATTGTTCTTCCTGTAGAAAATTACATTGGGACTGGGTAGGGTGGAATAAAGATAAATTATGCTTATTTTGCACGTCAATCGTATTCTCTATATTTATTGACCTAAATCTAAGAGATGATACTTATATCCTGGAAGCAGGGAACTTGGTGTTAGTGTTATAGTTACCATTTATTTCTGTGTCGGGGCGTTTGGACCCATTACATGATTCCTGCTTCCTGGGAAAAACGAATTGTCCAAATGCAGTGTGTTTTTGAACCAGGAACTTGGACAAAGTCCTGGCCAGGATCTGTTATTGCCATGAAAAAAAGATTTTTTTTTTATTCTGCTACTCTAGTGGTGTCGGCTTTTGCAGTCAGAGGCCAATTTATGATGGATTTTTATGAGATGGACACAAATAAATGCTGAAGAGATTTGAGACAAGCATGGGATTATAATTGTTGGTGGAAAATGCTACCAGTTTAAAATTTTCTGAGCTAAAAAGGCATGTAGTGTAAAAAGTCAGCTTCCGAAAACTTTGTACAATTATTTCACCATTTACTTGGGACACATTTTTGAGAGGAGAAGAAGAAAAAAAAAATAAGATGGTAATAAATATTGTGTAAGCTCTTGTTACATTTTTTAGGGTAAAACGTCAAACTCTAGAAATGAGAAAATGTACTTTGGAGATTTTTGGTAGGAAGAAATTGTTGTTAGTTGCGAAGTCGTGTCCGACCCATCGCGACCCCATGGACCACGTTCCCCCAGGCCTTCCTGTCCTCTACCATCTTCTGGAGTCCATTTAAGCTCCCACCTCCTGCTTCAGGGACTCCATCCAGCCATCTCCTTCTCTGTCGTCCCCTTCTTCTCTTGCCCTCCATCTTTCCCAGCATCAGGCTCTTCTCCAGGGAGTCCTTCCTTCTCATTAGGTGGCCAAAGTATTTGAGTTTCCACTTCAGGATCTGGCCTTCTCAAGAGCAGTTGGGGTTGATCTCCTCTAGGACTGACCGGTTGGATCGCCTTGCAATCCGGGGGACTCACAGGAGTCTTCTCCAGCACCAGAGTTCAAAGGCCTCCATTCTTTGGTGCTCGGCCTTTCTTGTGGTCCAACTTTCACAGCCCTACATTGCAACTGGGAAAACCATGGCCTTGACTATATGTACTTTTGTTGGCAGGGTGATGTCTCTGCTTTTGAGTATGCTGTCTAGATTTGCCATAGCTTTCCTCCCCAAGAGCAAGCGTCTTTTAATTTCTTGGCTGCAGTCCCCATCTGAGGTGATCTTGGAGCCCAGGAAGATAAAATGTGTCACTACCTCCATTTCTTCCCCATCTATTTGCCAGGAATTGAGAGGGCCGGATGCCATGATCTTGATTTTATGTTGAGTTTCAAGCCAACTTTTGCAGTCTCCTTCTTCACCCGCACCAAGAGGTTCTTTAGTTCCTCTTCACTTTCCTACTGTGTTTGGAGGTTGTGAAGGATTAATTCAGTCACAGTTAAGGTTAAGGCGCTGGCCTAGAAACCAGGAGCCTGTGAATTGTAGTCCTTCCTTAGAAAAAACAGCTGGTTGGGTGACCCAGAGCCAGTTCCTCTCAGCCCAGCCCACCTCACAGGGTTGTTCTGTGGAAAATAGGAGGAGATTAAGTATGTTCACTGCCTTAAATTATAAAAATAACAAAGGAGGGGTATAAGTATATAATACAAACTATTACATCAGTTGTTTGTTTATCTGTATTGCGCTTTTATCATTTCAAGGCAGCGAACATATCCAACTCAACTTCCCGCTCCTGTTTTCCTCAGAACAACAGCCCGGCGAGGTTGGCCGGGCTGCGAGAGAGTGATTGGTCCAAAGCCACCTAGCTGGCTTTATTGTCTTAAGGTGGGACTAGAATTCCCAGTCTCCTTTCTTGCCTTAACCACTAACCAGTGTTTCTCAACCTTGACAATTTTAAGGCATGTGGACTTCAACTCCCAGAATTCCACAGCCAGCGTTGCTGGCTGTGGAATTCTGGGAGTTGAAGTCCACATGCCTTAAAATTGTCAAGGTTGAGAAACACTGCACTAGACCAAACTGACTCTCTTGTTACCTCTTCAAACTAGTGCAGAACTGGCTGCTTCTTATACAGAAGAAAAGATCAGTACTAAAAATTATTTTTAAAAGCCCCCCAAATATAACCAGAAAATGCATTTCTGTTTTTTTTTTTACATTTGTCTGGCTAAAGAATCAACCACCTCTGCTTAAAGGTCAACCACCCCACAGGGCACAGAAATATTGAACACTCTCTCCAGCTTGTTTTTGTCAGGATTAATTAAAATACTCCTCTGTTTTAATTGTTTGCATATACCTGAGGACGTTGCTGTGAAAGACGCAAATGCTCTCTTGAGGTGTCCCTTCAAGGCTAGTAAGGGTGAGGTAGAGGACAACATCTTGAGATCTTCTCCAAGGAGCTTTAGGACTATGAGTTTAGAGAAGGATCAACACATTTATAGAGAACATACCAGTCACTATATTTTTTTAATAACTGAGAGGAATCCATGTAGTATTACACCTTTCAATACTGTATTTTAGGACATATTTTTCAGTTCTTCAATCTTCTCTACTGTTGTAAGAACAGGTGCATTATCAGATGGATCACAGCTTAATTCGAACAAGATACCTAATCTAAACATGCAGCTGAGCAGTAACTTGTAGAAAATTGTTTTCAGAATACTTTAATTACTATGAAAGATTGCAGCAACAACACACTTAGAAACGAAATGTTTGTCCTCTAATTCCATAGCATGAGTAAAAGATTCTTGAGTTGTGCCTTTTTCTTTCAACAAGACAGAAATATATAACAACAAGAGAGTCAAATTTGA